ACTTTCAATATTTTAAAACCTAATGTTTTAATTTATCTCAGGCTCAATTTAATAGAATCTTCTGAAAAAGAACTGTGGAAAAAGTCCAAAAAAAGAAAATCATAATACCCCCAAAAAAGGGATATGTATTACATTTAACCTAAACTTGATTAAAAAAATTGTGTTTTAAACTGATGAAAGTCTGGGAAAAAATTTCAAAACCAAAATTTATTTGCAATCAGAAAAAAAAAACATTCATAAAGCCAGGTGTAGTGCCAAAAATCTTAAAATAATTTTCTTTTGGAAAATTCAACTTTTCCAGTGGATCATTCACCCTTAAAAGTATAGTAAAAATTTATTATCATCAAATTTGTTTCAATTTGACCCCACAAAAAATTAATGAAATAATAATCCGCATTTTAGAAATTTGACCTGCACCCCATTTGCATACCAAAAATTGGTTCCGCCACCCACCCAGACCTGCCCCCCAACATCGGGTGGGTTGTGTTTCAAACCCTCTTTCCCATTATCTTCCTCTATCTCAAACAATCATCAATCCTTAAGCTTTCCCATCCTAGCTTGCTCCTACTTTGAGAAATGATCAACCTTTTATTTTTAACTCTCAATGTCTCAAAAATTATCTTTCTCTTAGTTCCTTGATTTTCTACATGTCTTCCTTTATTATCAACTGCCTGTCTTTATATTATTTTTATCATTTAAGGGTGTGATATTGTTTTCAATTCTTGTTGTTCATCATTTTCTTCTGGTCTTTCTTTATTTTAGTTCTGGTTCTGGTATGAATAATAAATCAAGGTCTGATTATTCAACAAGAATAATTCACAACTTCCCAAGCCCACTCCTGAAAGGTGGAATGATAAAGGATTGGGTTGATTTAAATGGGCAAGTGGTGGTTTTATTTCACATTGACTGGGTGCTCCTCTAACAGCTTCCTCTTGCTAAGCTTCAAGTCATCAGTATCAAATTTTTCCCCTCCCAAGCCCTCCTCCCCATACTCACCCAACAATGAGGCATTGACTAGCTTGTTTTTCAATCTAGCTGCAACCTTTGCAGCCACCATGGCCATCAAATTTCCCTCACGGAGGACGGAATTTGCAAGGACTGGACAGGATGTGCCCTTTCCAATTTGTGGTTTGTATTCTCCATTTTGAGCATAAAGGTGGCTTGAATGCTCCCCAGTTCAATGAGTGCAGGCAGCAACCCAGGTTTTTAAATCGTCTTTGTTGGAGATGACAAAGTTGTCTGATTGTTTTAAGCCATTGAAACAAACAATTGAGGCCCACCACATGATGGTACTGTGATTCAAATCATTGTTAATGATTGATTTGGTAATCATTTCCCCTGAGTTTTTAACCATACCCTTGAATGCAGTGGCCAATTTCTTCACAAAATGATCAAAATTTATTGCTTTGGATTCGTAGCCACCGGAAATTTGATCAAAAAGGGTTTTGGTGGTTTGATGATAATCCAAAAAATTTTCTTCATGCTTCTGGGGAGAATTTTAGCTGTTTTCAATTGATTGAGTATTAAAAATTTGAATTTCTTTGTACATTTAACAAACTGTGGTTGAAAACACAAAATGATCAGAAATCATTGAGATATGAAGCTGATAGTAGAGAGAGGTTGCTTTACTTTGTCTTTGTTTTGGTCATTGCTTATTTTATTTCCTTATTTTTTCTGGAATTTTATTTTCTGGGCCTTGGGTCCATTGGTGGATTTGAGATCACTTGTCGATATGGTGGTGGAGATGGATTGGTATGGACAATGGGCTTGATTACAAGCTGTTTCATTGTTTGTTTTGAGTCATTTTAAAACAAATAGCACTGAATAACCAAGTAGGGGGAGAAAGCCTTCTTGAAAGAGAGCGTGGGTTGATAAACTGGCATTCTCATTGTGTGCAATGGATGGATGAGATGGGTGGGTGGTGAATGCCCAGAAACCCCGGGGAATACCATGCAGTTACCAAGCGGTAAGTTATTATCTTACTTTGGAGGAAAACCCAACAAACGAGAGGCAAAAACTAAGGCTCACACACTTACTGTATAATTTTTGAAAAGCAGAAAAAAATAAAAATAAAATAAAACTGGTCTATATGACAAACACAATAGGTGAGATATCTTGGGTACATAGCATCAATTTTGCCTCTGGTTATTTAACTGCTCTGAAATGGGATGGATTTCATATTTCCTTCATAGTGATATCATATTTACATTATTTTCATGTTATATGAATTAGATTAATGTTATAAATGTAGGATTAGTCTCCTTTCTGTTGCTTGTAGGATTCCCTGTAGCATCACCACTCACTTATAGGACTCACCCATCACCACACCAAGTTATACTTTTTATTTATTATTTCTTGTCTTCCTCTGTCCTCAATATGCCTCTTTGATTTATCTCAATTCACATTGGGAAGCACACTGGTGAGCTAATACATAGTATTGTCAGATTTCTCCCCTGTGGACATCCTTGGGGCAGATGGCCGAGTGGTCTAAGGCGCTAGTTTTAGGAGAGCATCATCTAGGAAGGTGTTACGTTCTGGAAATCACTAGTCTTCGGGCGTGGGTTCAAATCCCACTCTGCTCATTGAAAAGTTGCCCTTGGCAATAGTTTTTTAATCATGCTTCGAGGATCTACTCTGTGTTGAAGCCTCCCACGAGGCTCAAGTTGTGAAGACCTCAATTTATCACGGAATGAATACGCAAGGAGTGGCCCAGATCGCGACGGCTGCCACAAGTGATCTGCGCGGCCCCCTGAAGCGGAGGCAACCTGCACACCAGGCTTCCTGGCCTATATCATGAGAAGCTCAGGCGTTACATCATGACCCTTATCAGCCCGGGTTGTTTTTCGTTATGTCTGGTTCCTGCTATACACGACACTCTGGGTGTATACACATACCTGCAGAGATATATGATCGAGCTTCGCTTGGCAATGCCAGGGGATGCTTCCTTCGCCTCTCGACCACGGAAAAAAAGCCTGAAAAAATGTTGCCTTCGCACTCTCTCCCGGGTAGACCTTATTTTTTATTTTATCCCCAATGCCGCAAGTTGTTGATTCCTCGAATCAAAGCTTGTTGTTCCTTTGCGGATTTTCCTGGTTGTCATGTCCCGCGCCTCCCTTGTGAATAAATATGTAGGGCAGAGGTAACAAACATATTTGGATATCGCCCTTCAAATCGGAAAAGGATATCATCTGGTTAATTGTCTCAGTAGAAACCCGTCAGGCGTCTATGTGGTTACAGGAGAACGATATAAGAAACGCTCCATCACCCTTGATCGCAGATGTGCAACATATAAAAGCTTTTATTCTCGTAGTACGCGACATCAGCTTCAGCTTCCTTTTCGTGTTAGATCGTTTAATAATTTTTACGAGACTTCATTATTGTTTCTTTGACAACGGATACCCCAGATACCTGCGCCTCCGGCTCATACCACCATCATGCAACCTCACGATAGACCCAGTCCGAATTGCGGCACGCAAACCACCGGTTCAGCAGAGGAATACCTACGCGCCTCAAGGGGAACCCCGGTTCTATGGAGTGCTCATCCCGTCTGCCATCTAGCTAAGAAAGACACCCTCGACTGTTCGACATTGTTTTCTCAGCATTCGTGGTTAGAACAATGCGGAGGAATTGAGCAGGCGAAAGGGACTCAGCATGATCGGGCCGCCCTCTTCCAGCCTGAGGAGCCTCAGGACTCGGAGCTGGCGCCCTTAGCATACTATAACTATGTTAAAAGGGCCTTCTCCGCCACCAGTTATCACCACAGCAATTCCGACTCCACAGACGTTCTCCAGATCCAGAGTCCCTCCTCAACGAGCATAAATCTTTTCACAAACTCCAACGAAGCAATCCAAACGTCGAAACTCGCCGAGGAGACGCTAATTTCTCCACACGCGACATTCAGGCCGTCCCTGAAGGAGCCAAGACCAACCGAAGACCAACCGTCGAGACGCGAGCAACAGCCAGTCAAGCCGGCTCAAACCATGTCGCTTCTCACATCCATGCTGACCTATCCCATCCTTGAGCCGTTGAAGATTCATGCCGCAAATCGCGCGATCAAAGTCCTGGAGGAAAAATTCCTTTTCCGCTCCCTACAGGCCAGAATGCGGCTACTCCGCAATGACTCGAGCAACTGCTTCACATCGCGAGAGGCATGGGATGCCCAGGGACTTGCCACACAAGCGGAAACGTTTTTCGCCCTCACCTTCGGCGCTATCAAATTCGATGCCTTGCCCATGTTAGACCACCTAAAACAGTCCTTGCAAGGTTTGGACGCGATGATTTTGGAATTCAGCTTCAAGTCCAAAAAAGAAGTTCTATACTCCAAGTGCGGATCTCTCAAATACTCTCCCCCAATTTCTTTCAATGTGCTGATGGTTTTTCATCAATGGGCAGGCTTTGGAACCACTTGGAGGCCATCCAAGACCAAGCAATGTGTGTGGGGGATGGACTGCTGAACATGGGCAAGCACCTATCGAAGCTGCACACCTGGGAGTGCGAGAGTCTGACGCCGGCGGGGGTTCGGTATGACGCGATGATGGAGGAGAGCAGCGGGAGCCGGGCTGACCCGCAGGGCAGCGACGGGGCAGAAGTGGCGGAGACACGCTTAACTGGACTACTTCTTGACATCGCCCAAGACATAACCAGCGCCCAAGACCTGGTGACTTTCTACCATAGCTGTATCTTGTCCTTCCAGCTCACCCTTGCCGAATTCCTTGGTACTATACCCGCCGGGGTACTGCCCTTCGACGAGCTCGTCATTTGGGTCCGGCTGTGCGTCTTGTCCATCGTCGATATTGCCCATGGACTGGCTTCCTTCCCCATCATATCAGATAAAATCTCTCAAGAAATCTCCGCCGATTGGCCTTCCTCCGTTTGAATCTTTTGCTGTTTCCGCCACAAACAAGAAACGGTACGGATGACAGGCTCCTTCGTACCTTCAAAAAAAAAAAGACTCTTCTCTCGCCCCTTTTAAACCCCGTTTCGTCCAACTGCCCGGCCGACGAAACCCTCATTTCTTTGCGCTCTAACATCAGATCTGGCTGCCTTCCTATGCTTTCACCGACATGATCATTTTTTTCCAGACCTGAACGCCCCAATACGGCCCCCTCTCCCCTTTTCTTCTCTTGAGTGTATGCAGTAGATCTTGCCCATCACGTCAGACAGAAATACAAACTTGTTTTTCTGTCCAGCGGAAAGTGCTCTTTGATTTTGTTTTCTTTCTTGTATATGATCCCATCTCTTTTTTTGTTTTAATCAAACCCAACTTGGCCTCTAAGTGTACATAGCCAGATTTTTTTTTCTTTTCTTGTGAAATAAACTTCTTCATGCGGGGACCACTGCACTTTATTGTCAGCCATTGAGCATGGTGCAAGAAGATACCTGCCTTTTTGCGCCCAATCTCTCCGCAGACATTTTCTCTCTCCTTGAGAAAATTTATGTTTCTCAAAATCTTTGGATAACAGTGGACTTTTATTTTTAGTAACTAACTTGATTTTCCCACTTTGAGGATTTCAGAGCTGGTGCAATCATTGTGGAGTCTTTATGGGTGGGGTGGCAGCTGCGGTTCTCAGCAGTAGCTGCCACTGATGGCATGGTTCGCCCTGAGGGCTGAGGTGGACCAAAGCATACAAAGGAGAGTATATTCAGAGATTTTGTTAGGCTGAGTGGATTACTTTTTGATTTCGTCAGCAGCAGAGAAAGTATGGGTGGGTCAGGGATGGCAGGGAGGAGGTCATTTAGGGTGTTTGGGGGGCTCAAGCAGGCATTGGAGGAGGGCCAGGAGGACAAGGCACCAGGGATGATTCCGGGAACTGGGTGTCAAGTGCCATACTATATGTTTGTCCTGGAACATTGCAGGAAGTGTTCACCATTTTGACATTAAAAAGCAT